GGTTGGAGTGGGTGGAGAAAGGTGTCAGGAGTGTTGTGTGACAGAAGAGTGTCAGCAAGAATCAAAGGAAAGGTGTACAAGACAGTAGTGAGACCAGCTATGCTGTATGGGTTAGAGACTGTAGCAGTGAGGAAAAGAGGCACAGATGGAGGTAGCAGAGATGAAGATGTTGAGGTTCTCTTTAGGAGAGACCAGGATGGACAGGATTAGGAATGAGCACATCAGAGGGACAGCTCAGGTCGGCTGTTTTGGGGACAAGGTCAGAGAGGCCAGATTGAGATGGTTTGGATATGTGCAAAGGAGGGATAGTGGTTATATTGATAGAAGGATGTTGTAGATGGAGCTGCCAGGCAAGAGGTCAAGAGGAAGGCCAAAGAGGAGATATATGGATGTGCTAAAAAAGGACATGAAGTTAATTGGGGTGAGAGTAGAGGATGCCGAGGATAGAGTTAGGTGGAAACAGATGATTCGCTGTGGCGACCCCTAACAGGAACAGCCGAAAGGAGAAGAAGAAGACTTAGTATAGATGATAACATACTTTGAGATCAAATGCATTAAGGCCACCAGGTTAGAAAGTGTCCAGCGTCACAAACCAAGATGAAATCAAATGTACACTAAGCCACTAACAATACATCTCATAACTGTGTAGACCATGTGTGTCCAATTTAAAAAGCTGAGAGAACTTTGCTTGCCCTAAGTTGGAAAATACAATTGGTTTAGAGCTCTCAGTGTTATGTAATTTATTATAGACAGAGAAAGTAGAGGGCAATAAATAACTAAATACTTATAATGTAAGTGAGAGTGAAAAAATGTAAATAAAGTTTAAAATAAAATTCTGATACAGTTTGTAATGCGTGTTTTTGACATGTTTTCTGCAGAAACGGCAGTTTTATGAGACCTTCCAGCAGCTGCCTCCTTCCCAGTGGATGGAGCTGGCCGATCTGATCAGTCAGTGTATGGACTACCAGCCGGCCTTCAGACCTTCTTGTCGCAGTATTATCCGTCAACTCAACAGTTTGATCACTTCAGGTAATGGTGTTTATCACACACAGAAAGTATAAATCACATCTTAGATAAGTTCACAATTCTTTTGTTTCAGTTCAATTAAAACTAGAATGTTGGTTTTGACCTTTTATGTAAAACAGACCATCAGAATAAAACAAAAAACTGTGCTAAAAATTTGCATCTCAGCATGTCAACAATTTGGGTACATACTGGTTTCAGTTATGAGCTGTATCTAAAACAGAAATATATCAGAAAGTTAATATGAAATACTGGAACATTTATTAAAATGTCAGGAACATAATCTAGAAAGTATAAAATATGTCATCAAAGTAAGAAAATGGTATGTAAATTTATGGTGTGCAAATGTACGCTCACAGGTGAATTTAGAGAAAATATTCAGGATGTGGAAATATCAATTTAGAGGCTGGGTTGTTTTTAAAAATAAAAAACACCTTTTTTTTTTTTGGCTGGTTTGTTTTAAAAACTAAAATCCACCTTTTGCACACATTTAATATAAATGTCAACACTTGTACTGGATGGATACTGTTTAAGAGGTAAGATCTTAAATTACACAAGCAAAGCACCAGTTCTTACTGTACTTAAAACTGTTTCTTGTTTCATGGAAGACTATGTGATACTGCATGCCACTGAGCCTGTCACACAGAGCCCTGTGTGGAGAGCCCTCAGCCCTGCTCAGGATGACCAGACACTGTTTGAGGAGAGACACCTGCGGTACATCTCCCTTCTGGGAAAAGTAAGCCTCAGAATTTTCTTTGAAAATTTCCTAGACGTCACTTATGACATCACTTACATCAGCAGAAATACAGGACAGTATGTTAAATAAACTACTCTGTGTTCTATATAATCAAATAGGAATTTTTACGGTAAGATGTCTGTTTGCACAACAAACCTTCCTACTGTACCTTTTAAACAGTTTGCAGAATTCCTGCAGTGACACACGTATGATACACTTTTTTTCTTTGCTTATCACTAACAACTGAGTATCTCAAAACTTTTCCAGGGAAACTTTGGCAGTGTTGAACTTTGTCGTTATGACCCGCTGGGTGATAACACGGGAGAGCTAGTTGCTGTGAAGAAGCTGCAGCCCAACAAGCAGTCGACTCTGGACGACTTCCAGAAGGAGGTCAACACCCTCAGCATTTTGCACTGTGACTACATTGTCAAATACAGAGGAGTGTGCTACAGCATGGGTAATAAAAACACTCACTATAAACCTAGCCAATGACTGTGGCTCAGGATGTAGAGCTCTAACTGGACAGCTGGCGGTTAGATTCCCGGCAAATAGTGTAGTGTGCTTTGCTGCATAGAAAAGTGTTATATAAATATAAGACCATTTACTTAATTCAGCTTTCCAGTTTTAATTTGAATGTCATCTGTTTGGCATGGATCAGTTTTGATCGGTATTATTACGTGTGTAACCTCACATTTATTAATATGAATAGGCATATTCTTACGGTTTTTACTAGTAGGGTGATTGAGCAATAATTTTAGCCATTGTGCAGCCACATTAAAAATATGCACACTAAAAAAAATCTCTATTTAAATAAATCGCATTAGATACATTTGTCAGTTTCAAGTCAAGCCAACTTATTTTCACATTATTACCCTTCATTCAAAACCATTTCATATCTTTAGTTCAGTGTGGTAACTTTAAAAAATGTCCAGATATCCAAATCATCTTTCACTTAACTCAAGTCAATAGCTTTCACTGTACAGTGGTTAAAATTCACCAGAAGATCTTCTGTTTTTGACTTTGATTATGACCCATGACATAGTCTTGGGCCACAATCATGGTTTTTAGGTGACATCGGAAAACTGAGTGACCATTGGTTCCTCTGCTGAATAATGTAAATACCTGTTCACAGGTCGCCTCAGCATGAGTTTGGTGATGGAGTATCTGCCCCATGGCAGCCTTATTGGCTACTTGGAGAAATACCGACATAGCGTCAACACCAGGCGGATGCTGCTCTTTGCTTCTCAGATCTGTAAGGTGAGTCAGATAGTGTACCTGCAAACATTTGTCATGACACAATTTTAAAATAAGCTAGTTTTAAATGGGCAGTTGATTAATAAAAACATCCAACTTTTATCCTGATTATCCACTTTAAGTACTATGACCTAGAGTTTTTTAAACTCAGGTGTCTTTCTTAATCATCAAAAAAACTAAAGTTTTAAATTCACAATGACCCTCATAAAAACATCCAACAGCAATGCAAAGGTAATTTCACTAGGTAGATTGTGACAGACTTCCCACAGAAATGCAAATACTGATAATTGTTCGTTTACGGGAAATCCAGCTGGAATTTAGGCAAAATTCTGAAGGACCTGAAAAATGCTTTGGCAGTCTTGCATGATGACAACTCTTCTTCTCTTGTTTTACTAATGTTCTAATCAAACCAATAGTAATAATGTCAAGGGTCAATGACACCTTGCTGAATTAATCAATGAACTACAAATACAGTTCTCTGAAGCTGAGATAATGTCTTATCATATTCCTTCATATCCAGTATTAAGGTTCTATTGCACAGCATAAACACAAAGGGGCAGGGGCAAAAAGAAAGAGTGCAGTTTTATTTTCTTCTGTATTGCTGTTTTTAACTTCTGATTTTCCCAGGGAATGGAGTACCTGCAGACTTTGCGTTATGTGCATCGAGACCTGGCAGCGAGAAATATCCTTGTGGCCAGTGACTCACTGGTGAAAATCGCTGATTTTGGTCTGACCAAGATCATTCCTATTGACAAAGAATACTATCGAGTCACACAGCCTGGAGAGAGCCCCATCTTCTGGTATATTTCCCCATGTTTGAAAACTGAAATATTCTTTATCTAAAGTGTTAAAGCAAAATTCTGTTGTGAATGATCCACAGTTGCAATAGCTGATGTTGTGGAAGGGTTGGTTTGGTTGAAACAGATGCAGCCAAACTTGGCTACCTGTCCCATATTTTCCATTGAGACACACACACACACACACACACACACAAACAAACTTTGAGGATTTTGAGTACGACACTTCAGGCTGGAATCAAAATGTTGATTTTTCTCAGGTTTTAAAGTCTTCTGAAGCCATTGTACTAATAAGTATGGACATACAGCATACACACATATTCTGACAAACACGCACCCACACATGCATAAATACACACAATGTTACAAACGTTTAGTGCAAGTTCATCTACAGCCCTTAGGGTGCTCTCTCAGAGACTCTGCACCATGAGGTCTGACCTAAACAATGACAAAAGATTACACATATGCACACAAACTGTACACATGCATGCATGGTGCAGACACACTGAGACGAGTTGTGCTGCCTATTTGTGCATTTAAATCAGTGTTGTGAGGTGTAGGAGGCAATATTCATATCCATTAGAAACAGAGGGGTGAAAGCTCATGTAAGCACTGTGACTCAACACACATACTGGGGACACAGAGGAGCAAACACATTAGTAATGATGCTTGCTCAGGGCAGTGATGTGTCCAGTAGAGAAATAAAAATGTGAATGTATCCAAATGATCAAGTGCTTTATATTTTGACTGAATCCTACACAAGTTCATACAATTGGCAAGATGTTCTGAACAATTCTCTAAATCCACAAAGACACAATGTCA